TATATGAAATCCATCTCTCTGACACCTTGACCTAGCAGGTATTCAATAACTATGAGCTGAATGAATATTTGATAAGTATACAAATTGCATATTTGATAAGTATACTAATTGAAGAATATTGGTATTTCTTTCTTGTCATAGTAATAAGTTCTATTTTCTTTTAGTGAAAAGACATAGTTGAGGGGAAAGGCATGCTTATATTTCTTCCTAGAGGAGATAGTACACCAATATTTATTGTGCCAGACACTGTGCTAGGCTCTTTGCCTGTCTTATTTCATTAATCCTCACAACACCTTCATGAGTTGAATATTATTATGTCCATTTTGCTAATAAGGAAACTGAGGCACAAAGAAAACGTGCCCTGAACCTCAGAGCTGTGAGTCAGAGCAAGAGTTGTCTGCGCCCCTCTTTTGCCTCTCGGTAGGATGCTCAGTTAGCAGTGCCAGGGAACAGAGTTGCGTAGATAGGAAATTATAATCCAGGGACCACCGTGCCCCAACAGTTCACGTTTAACAGTTTATATGCAGTTACTGTCACAGCAATTCAGTATCCTGGGAGCAGCAAACACAGTGGAACTATCTCATGGTCAGATGTCCCTGCCTGGCTAGCCAGGTGGCACCAGAATATTTAGGAAGAAATTTATCAACTTTTATACATCAGTGTGCAAACGTTGGAAAAGTGCTCCAGGTGAGTCTGATGCCCCCACAACACACACATGAATACCCCAGGTGAGGACTTCCGTTCTACTCCTGTGGTTCCCAAAGTTGGTTGGGAGACCTGGATCCCACCTCCCGTGATTCTGATTAGTTGGTCTGGGTGCAGCCTGGGCATGGGTGTATTGAAAAGCTTCCCACAGGATTAACTACATAATTTGTGAGGCCTGATGCAAAATGAAAATGCAGGAGTCCTTGTTCAAAAATTATCAAGAACTTTGAGACTGTGACAGCAGAGCACTAAACTACCTGCAAGCCCTTCTGAGCACGGGGCCCGGCATGACTGCACTGGCCACAGGCCCCTAAAGCCAGGCCTGGCTGCCCAGGTGGTTCTAAAGTGCAGCCAAGGTTGAGAACCAGCCAAGGATCTTTCAAATAGATTAGTTAGTAAACTGCCAAAGGCTCTGGCATACCTGGAATTTATCTCTACATCTTTTGAGTTCCTTTGAAAGCAGTGCTTGCATTCGGGCTGCCTCTCACTGCAAAGGACTGATGCAGAGGACAGGCATTATAGACATGAGTGGGGAGAAGGAAGGGAAGAAGGAAGAAACCAATGAGTGTGTGGCTTTGGAAAGTTCTATCTGCATGGAATGGTGTGGATCACATGACTTTCCTAATTGGAAAATGTTATCCCACTGTTTAGTGTTTGTGGCTGATGTATCTTTAAGTGCTTCTCATACTTCAGCTTTAATTACATCCTGTGTGGGTGTCTCATCATATAGTTTTAAAAATGGTAAAATAAAAACATGCTCTCCTGAGAGGCTTTTTGGGGCAGTGAAACTATTCTGTATGATTCTACAATGGTGGGTACAAGTCCTTATACATTTGTCCAAACCCATAGAATGAACAACACCAAGAGTGACCCCTAATGTAAACTATGGACTTGGGGTGAAAATAATGTGTCCATGTAGGTTCATCAGTGACAGATGTTGATAATGGGAGAGGCCGTGAGTGTGTAGGGACAGGAAACATATGGGAAATCTCTGTTTCTTCCCATTAATTTTGCTGTGAACCTAAAACTGCTCTGAAAAAAATAAAGACTTTAAAAAAAAGCTCTCCTTGGGTAGGGAGAGATGGACTCTGAGGTTGGTCACAATGGTGGTGGTCATTACTGCTCTCAGAAATGCGCTCTGCAATCACTGGAAAGCAGTGGCTTAAAGAACGGTGATTCTGTAAACATAGCTCCTTTCCTGTCTGGCAAAGAAATAACTTCATGTTCTCCAAGCCCAGAGGTTTTCAAAGCATCAACTGCAAAGAAGTCACTTAATCCATTAGCCTCACTCAGAGGCTGTGCTCCACCCTGTAATGAAGTGCCCCCCTCCCCAGTCCCCAGCCCAGTTGGGGGCAACTCTGGCTGGGAGAAGAAGAAGAACTCTATGCCAAGCCCTATACCCAACTTTGGGCTCATCACTTCCCCAGCCTTAGCTTGCTCAGCTCTACACAATAAAAAGAAGTGATGGACTGGCAGCCCTTCCTAACAGGGTGTGGAGTGTGTGAGAACATGCTTTGTAAAGCACAGACTGTTGGAGACACATGTGGGGAGGGAGTGGGGATGGAGGTGGAAGAGAAACGGAAGGAAATGTAGGTTTCTGCAGCCTAATGGAAATTGGAGGAGGTTTATCCGAGACACAGCAGGGCTTTTTGCCAGGGGAGTGGGAAAGTCTAGCTGCCCTGTCTGGGCATAGAAGCCTAGGGTGCTGAAGTCTGGGGGCTCTGGCCGCTAGCATCTCCACAGTCTCATAAGGAGTGGGAGTCAATGGGCATACTGTTGTTATTAGTAACGAACAGAAAACCAAGGCCTTGGGTGGCTGACAATCCAACAAACTGCTGTCACCTATGATCTTTGACCATATACTATCTTAACAAACTATTTTTTGCTTTTTGGACACCTTCCCTATAAGGAGGGCCGGAACTTGAGGTCTGTGGTGCTTTTTGATTTGCCACAATCTGAGTTATAAAGAGTTTCCGAAT